CGCTCCCATCGCAACTCCTATTCTTCGCAAACGAGCCCTTTGCACCATCCCCCATCTACCTCTTTCGAAGACGAGGCAAGACCACACAAACGCCATCGCGAGTCCCGTTCCCCTTCGCCCTCTCGTTCTCGATCGCGCTCTCCCAATGCACGAACAGTAGCAGAGATCAGAAGCACAGATTACCAGTCCCCGGCTAGCACTTACGTGACGGTGCGCCGGCACGCACACCAACCATACCGGCACGTGGAATCCTCTGGTTTGTTGGTGTCGATTCCGCCCACGCCTGGCATGTTGGTGGGTGGTGGGAATAACGTTCGCGTTGTTGGTCCTGCGCTTGTAGCAGCGCCTTTCCTTCCACCGTCCCGCTCATACACAACGTCAGCACCTCTGCAGCACGCATCGCCTCGCGCGTCGTCATACGTACAACCACATCATCCCGTCCAAGTGCCCTCTCCGAGTCATCATTCGTTTCCCCACAACCAATCTCCACAACACTCTCCTAAACATCCACGTCCACAACTCCACCATCCTCAAAGCCAAACTGCATTACCTCACTCAGCTGTGCATCTACCCACAACAGCAGAGTCTGTGCCACCGAGCTACGGATACGGTCCAAAGATGGCAGGAGGTGTTGGTGTGTTGATGCATGACTCACCACCTCGGAGGAATGTGCCGAAACGCGACTTGTCGCCTGGAGACGCTGCGAGGTATGAGGGGCTGAGACATGAGGCGTCGAGGGAGCAGTTGAAGTATGAGTCGATGAGTCAGCAAGGAAGGTATGAGCCGTCGAAGCATGTTCCTTTACAGGCGCCGGTGCCGAGGCTAGCGAGAGCGGTATGGGATAACGAAAGCGGTAGGATGGACGAGATGGAAGTGCAGGCGCCTCGAGATAACGTTGTGTGTCGGGAGGGTGTTGTCGTTCCTCAAGAACAGCTGCAATTGCGCCATCCGCAACCGCCGCCTTCGCCACATGTCCACGTCGAGAGGCCGAGAAAGAGGAAGAGCGAGGAGCACGTCAAGGAGGTCGGGGTCTCTTCCGAGTCTCTGCCTCTGCCTCAGTACCGGCCATTGCGCGTTTGGGAAGAGAGACTTCCAGCTCCTGAGGCACCCCAAGGCGTCTCGCCAACACCCGTGCTGTACGCCGTGAATAACCAGGTTGCGGACAATATATCTGAGGGGTGTGTACAACAGGAATTGTTGGGAGAGAACAAGAGGGAGCACGGTGAACAACCAGCCGTGGAAGATCAGGTAAATGAATCGCGTGAGGAAGTCGTGGACAAATGTGTCTCGCCTCCTCCACCATCTCCTATGCGTTCTGTTTCGCCGTCACTAGCGCCAGTTACGACGCGCTCGCCTACACCTCCTGTCCACCACGCTTGTATCGAACCATGTTCACCTCTACTACTTCCCGGAGCTCAGATGGCCTTTGTGGCATCAGCTTCTCAGTCTGAAATCTCACACCCATCACTTGCCCGCATATCTTACGAGCCCCGACCGTTTTTATCCCCAGCCCCCGCACAGTCACCTTTGTCTATCAAGTCGGAGCCACAGGCACCCGCCTCCCCTCCAGCCTCGCCCGCACCCGCACCTCCAGCCTCTCCCATTCGGGACCTTCAATCCGAACATCTTGAGCCTGAGCTTGAGCTTGGACATTCCAACACAGTGACGAGCAGGAGCAGGAGTCGCTCAACACATACACCCCCACCTGAGTCTGAGCCCTCATGGAGCGAAGTGGAACCGGTCCCTGAGGCCGTAATTATGCACGATACCATCATGTCTGATGCTCTTATTCAAGACCCAAGTTCAGAGCTTGCCCAACCACCCACACTAGCGCAGGAACCAGAGCCTTTGGGAACGCCGGAGATCCGATTCAAGCTCGAGCGTTCGCCGAGTAAAAGTCAAAGTAGGAGTCCCTCACAAGTTCCCCTCTCCATACCCCCACCCATCAAAAAAGAACCCAATATCCTCCCTGAGGGCATTCCCATTACTATACCCAACCACTCGGAACCGTCTCTTCGCCGATCTCCCAAACCAGAACGGTCGCCAGAGCGACCACAGGCAGTCACAGGATCATCGATGATGGACGTCGATGAAGAACTCCTGAGCCTCGTCGAAGATCGCGTTCCTGCCTCTGCTCCTGCTCTGCCTGCGAAGCTGACTTCACAGGCGAAGTCCAAGTCAGCGTCACCGTTCATGGTGGGACGGGGTGCGGGTGCAGGCGCAGAACAGGGATCCAGCACGTCGGCTGATGGTTCATCGACATCGGCGTCCTCTCAGCTCGTCCCCAAGGTTCCTGCGATCATTGCAGACGATGAGAAGGATCGGGAATCAATGCCTCCCCCGGCGCCGCGCACTAAAAAGGAAAAGGCTGAAAAGGTTGAAAAGGACAGGGGTGCTTTGGCCGCTGGTACTGCTGTGAGAAGCAAGAAGAAAATGGACGGGATCTCAAAGGTACGTTACTAGCCCATTTTCATCCTGTGGAGATCGAGGTTGTGTTAATCCATCTATGTCTTTTTCGAGCAGATCCCCGCTAAACCCAAGCAACCTGGAAAGGCACGAATCAAACCTGCCGCAAAGACCAAAGCGAAATCCGGTGCTACGGATACCTCTGTCAGGGATTCCTCCACGAAAGGGGGGCTCGCTCCAAAAGGCGGACAAAACGCCGGTGCCCGTTCGCGCTCTACGTCTGCCATGCCAGGCGGTGTGGATGACGTCGTTGCGGATGCTGATGCAGACGACAGTGAAAAGGAGGACGGCAAGTTCTACTGTGTGTGTAAGACGCGATACGACGAAGACGAGGTGATGATCGCATGTGATCGGTGAGTGGTGTCGCTACCCCGATGTACACGCAATGAATAAGACGTGGATTTATAGGTGTGACGAGTGGTACCATACCCAGTGTGTCGATGTGCCTGACCCGGAGATCGACCTCGTTGATCAATTTATATGTCCCCCGTGTGTTCAGAGTGCGTATCTGTCGTCCTTCCGTAGTTTATTTGGCTAATATGTGCATTATTCCAGAATACCCACATCTGCAGACGACGTGGAAGCGACGATGCCTCTTTGGACTGAAACACGAGAATCCTTCATCGCCCAGCGCGTGTCACAAGCCGTCCCGTGGAACATTCTCCAAGTATTGCTCTGATGAATGCGGTATCAAGTACATGCAGTCGCGTATTTCACAATGGGAGAGATCTGGTGGGACACGCGATCTCCTGTGGGACAGTGTCAAAAGTGCTGAGAAGCGCGAGGGTGTCGTCGTCCGCGTTGGGACGACCGGGGTGACTCCCCATATCGAGATGGATATTGATGACGATATTTCCAGCACCCTGGAGCAAGAACGGGACCCTCCCCCCACCGCTGCGAAGCGTAGACCAGAGCGGGAGATCGCACACCTGAATGCCCGCCTCGAGCAAGTGGTTAAGGAGCGCGAGATGATGAAGCGTGAGATGGATATGGTGTTCTGGCGCGAGAAAGTAGTGGAACTTGCTTCCGAGCGAGCGGAGAAGGTAGACGAGTGTGGCTGGGATCAGAGGCTTTGTTTTGGTGAGGAGGAGTGGGCGGACTTCGGAACTGAGGTGGTGGAGAGCTTTGAGGAGGAACGGGCGAACACGGGGCCGGGGGATGATACGATGCAGGTTGACAGCGCAACTACCAGCCATGGTGAGTGGTGGTGTACCGGTAAGAAAAAGTGCGAGCGTCACGCAGGGTAAGTCTCCGTTATGTGGTCTCCAGCACTCTTGTTGACAGCAAAGCGACATCTAGGTGGCAGAAGCTCCGTGCCGCAGAGGTCTCATTCGACAAAGAGACGAAGGAAGGAATTCTTCTCAAACTCACTACTCGCGAACGCGAGATCCGCAAGGGCATCGAAGACATATTATATCCACAGGCTCATACTACCTCGCAAGTCCCATCCAAGCCCTCACATCCAGAGGTTGAACTCAATGGCGCTAGCAAATCCCGATCTAGGAATGGCGATCTTCTTGAGAGCGGGGGAAAGAAAAGTTGATTCATGCACTATCGTATTTCTATTCGTTTCTTGCACTAGACATTTTGAACCAGAATTCGCTTTCTTGCCTGTCCTACCTTCCTTAGATTAGAGTCGAAAATACCACACGATTCTATGGCCATGAAACTGTCAGACAGCCCGTAGGCCTGAGATGCAAAAGGAAACCAGTACAAATGACCGTCGTACATCAATATCCATCGCCCTCGCCACCCTCTTTACAAAACCCCTTTTTCTCGTACAAGACTTTGGCCTTGAAATCCTCGCGGTCCTTCTTGTTGGTAATGTCGTTTTTATGATATGGATCCAAGAGCTGATAATCGACTTGTCGTAATGGGACATCATCCTCTTGATCAAGGTCCTGGGCAAACGAAGTAAACGAATGACCACACGAGGACATGCACACCGAAAACCGTACGATTTCGCCCAGTAACACTACGTTCTCCCCTCGAATGAGGAAGAGGCCGTGCCAGTGCTCTGCGAATGCATTACCGTGGTATATTCGCTCGACGGTGTCTTCAAGGACAAGATTTGCTGTGCCGAATAGAATAGTGAGGGCAATTAGAGACTGCATGATCACTAGGCCACAACCGAGGCTCACTCACCAAATTGATCATAAGAGCGCAATACGCCATGCAGCTTCCGACCGTCTCTAAGAACCACCAGCATCTTTCCTAAGCCGGGGTATCATAAACGGAGTAAAGTGATCATGGAAGGCTCAGGGCGCTGGCTGGTGTGGAGTTGACTTGGCAGACGTACTGTCCACACAATCTACCAGTGATCCCGATGTTGTGAATGGGATGAGTGAATCCATGAATGTCCGGTGCTGCTCCCAGGCAGCCAATAAGTAGAAAAAAAGAGGAAAGGAATGGTCAGGAAATGTTGGGGTGGTGTTGAGAAGAATGTCTCGGAGCATAAACTTGGAAAGCAAATCGCCCTTTGACTTGTTTGGTGGTGCGTTATATGATAGACTCGAGACAAGTAAAGTCATCAAGCTGATATGGCCGAGTCGTTAAGGCGAGTGATTTGAATTCATATCATCACTTGGGCATTGCCCGCGTAGGTTCAAATCCTGCTGTCAGCGAATTTTTTCGATCTTTTTTTTTTCATGATATGAATATCATCATGTACCAGGTCCATCAGCATCACACCTGAGTCAACTTGGTTCAGCAACCTCTTATTCGTAGGTGGTAGTACTCGACAGAATTACTGATATGATTGAGACGATCTACATCGCTAGGCATGGTAAGTCCTCCGCCGTTAGAGTTTGCGCGAGCCTGAGGTTGATACGGTTTCCAGGGTTCAGATCTAACTGGGTGGACTCGAACTGGTCAGTGGACTAGTTCAGCTCTCAGAACTATCGCTTCACTCAGGACGCCGCACAGGAAGAACCTAACGGGTCTCCCCAGGGACCCTCCCTTAGCTGCTTATGGAGAAGTAATATCCATGTCCACTGAACCGCTCTCATGCATTGACAAGGCTACATGCAGGCTCAAGCTATAGAGCTTGCCAAATATTTCGAGTCGCTTCCAGAGGATAAGCAGCCCACTGCAATATTCTCTTCCCCATACTGCAAGTGATCTCTTTGCAACCCTGGGCTTGGCAAGTAATTAACGCTTCGGGTAGATCGTTGCCTTCAAACCTCCAAGCCTGTTGCAGAACACTTATCTCTGCCGATCTACGTCGAGCATGGTTGGTTTACTTTCCTGGGTTGTTTCTCCAACTTTCGACCAACCAGAATACGTATAGGAATATCTGAATGGTACTCCCCAGTGGCTCCTGGGACTGGCTTGTTTCCACGACCAAAGAGTGCTATCGACCTCCAAGCCTTGTTGCACGAGATCAGTCCATCTTGGCGTTCAGTCAAGATCGATCCGTCTTGGCGTTCAGTCTGGATCCCACCTCGCAAGGGAGAAGATATCGAAGAGATCCACGCCCGTATGGTTGGCTTCCTCAAATGCCTTATCGACCATGTCGAAACACGGTCCGATATGAATCACCACAAGAATGTCCTGCTCGTCTCACACGCAGCAACGACCATCGCGTTGTGCAGAGGTCTCCTTGCGCAGCCAGACATGCCTCTCAGAGTTGGCTGCTGTACAGTTTCTCAGTTTTCTCGCAAACATGACGCGGCTGGTGTGCCAGGAGCTTGCCAGTGGGACGCCATATTACTGGCCTCCAGCGCTCATCTGTCAAACCAGGAATCATTGAGGGACTGGGGATTTGAGGACATTGTGACCGACCGAACTGGCAAGGTGTGTTATTGTTGAACAACCGGAAGCGAGGAATCATGACTTTCCGATAGGTCGTCGATGATGTTGGGGTACCAGGCACTGAGAAAGAGGAAGACGGCGGATTCGGACCACAGATCCACCCCAGCATGCTCTAGACCAGCAAAGTTTCACATCACAGCAATGACTTCCTAACGGTAGATGATATTATGGCGAAGATACCTCCATATTCCAAGTTGATGCACTGGTGAAAAAGACGCACCAGTTCTGTAGTTTGTATCAAGAGTTGGATGTTTGAATTTATACTATTCTTACATTTGGTGTTACACTGAATTTGCCTCTACAAAAACGAGATGTACGCGCTCGCGTAGCTCACGCTGGAGCCACTAACACTGGTACATTTACTGCTCTGTTCGTAACGCACGAACTGCAATTTGGCACTCTTACCACTCTTCTCGAGCTCAGAGAGCATGCCAAGAAGCACTCCTATCGGCTTCCTCCCACATATGGTGTTACCTGTTCGATCAAGATACTCCACAAATTTATCATGGGAATCTGCTGCGGGAGCATCCGACTTGGACTTTGACGGCAAGGTCAGGATGTCCAAAGCTTCGTGATCAAGATCGCGGATGGATGTGTGAATTGGTCTCTGGGATAAATTCTGTTGAGGACCATAGCTCTTGAGAAAGACCCCTGGGACATCGCTGGGGAGCGGCTCTGGGTAGTAGAATGTGTATCCATACGATCTGCCCCTGTCGATGGTCAGCTTGGTAAACCGCTGTTACATCGAGTAGCTCACCAATGGCAGAAATCGCTCGAAATCACGAAAAAGTTTTCTGGATCAGCCAAGTAAGGTGCTAGGATGCTTCCGTATGTTTTCTCCTGGGCGTTGTTGATAGAACCGACGAGTATTGGCACTACTGTGATGTTGGAGCTGGCATGGCACACGTCAAGACGACAAACAGAGCGGGATGACGACAACTAACTCTTTGAATATCTGATACACGTATGGGAGGTGCATCTCGATGCTGTGCTCGTCTTTGTCCGTGTCAATTGACATGATTCCAAACTTCCCGGTTTCCAGCAACTGTCCGATGGCTGTGGAGGCATGTCACATTACTCTTGTCTGGGGGCTCACAGCTTCCTCGCCACCACTTACTGTCCTTATCGAGAGGCAGATTGCCCAAGGGAGTGACATAATAGTCACAACCAGAAACATCACAGCGGTTCAGGTGGACGTGATGAGCGGGCCCGAGAATGAAGACCCGCTTACTTCGACAATGCGAATGAGACCAATGCTATTTAAGCATGAGAAAACTTACATTCCGGTCGTATCTATACTGCTGTAAGCCCAAGCAGCAGCGCGTCCAGACCATATATAACCAGCGTGTCTGGAGATTAATAAGGTCAGAAGCCAGCCATATGACTAGACGCGGCAGACGAACGGGGCAATGATCGCTCTGGATCCCGTGAGGGGAGGAGCAAAATCTTGTTCTGGGATAGGTTTCACGGCTGCCAGCCATCCGCTCAGCTGCCCTCCTAGCACCTGGGCTGTCACATATCATTCATTGTGCGAATGGTATCTAAGCGCTGCAGATCTACCATCGCTTTCATACCATGATCCAGCGTGTTCCGCGGGTCTACAGAAGACATGGGTAAGTTAGAATGAAGAGTCTGATGAAGAGACCAACTTGCCTTGTGTTGTTCATGTTGTCGACCTGCGATGGCAAAGGTGCAGGTTCGCTAAAGAGACGTGTGATAGCGTACCACATCAGGAAAGCTTTGATACAGCAGTTTGCCTTTAAAGGAGCAATCGACGCCTGACTAGGATTCTTCAAACATACAACAATATGTTGTCGTCATATATCCTGAAGCATACTCGCATATCGACTATCTCCAGCATATGGAATGAATACATGTGAATGGATGGGAGAAATACGACGATAACAATCTACTCCTCTGACCGCAGCCGTGCAGCAGAGTTCGTCACCTTGACGCCAAGGGCCTTTGCCCTGTGGTTGCATGCATGAATTGAAATGTCAGCGAAATAGTTTTATTCGTCAACTTACCGCTCGAGGATAAGAGTGCGGTTTCGGCTGCTGACATTGTGTGCAATCTCTGCAGCGTAGCTTTTGTTGTGCATGAGGAGAATATCAATCTCCTTTACATTGCTGACAAGGAACTTCTTGTAGCCATTTGGCAGGAGATGGCGAGTCTATGGAAGCACAGGGTCGAGCACAATGTCGGCGGACAAGCAGAGCTAGTTACCTTCTTGTTGCTCCCGTAACCAACCTTGGGCATAGGAAGCTGCCCCTTGAAGCGACGCCTCACTCTGTTATCAATACCCTTGGGTTTCCGCCATGCCTCCTTGACACTGTGGTAACGATCGGACTGATGGCGCCTGTGTGTTGGTGATGAATGAGTGTCTGCACGAAGATACCTGTATCAGTCACGAACTTGAACGACTTGGTGCGCTTCTTGACGATGGGGATCTTGATGGCCATGACGGTCTATGGAAAAGGCCATTAGCACACTGTAAAAGCCAGTTGTGGTGCCGGCAAAGGCGCAAGTAAAGCAGCACGACGAGCCAGGACCCTGAGACAACTACATCCGTCCGCCAGACCACCCATCCGGTCTCCTCATCTCTTCTAGCGACTTAAATTCTCGAAGCCTCGTGATCACGGACAGCAGGGTGCAATGGACCTGTTCATAGCGAGTTTTTGAGGACGTCGTACTCACAATTTTTGAGCTTGAGGATCGACGGCGTTCGCGTTCACCAGATGGTTTCCTGCCCAACTGATCAGTGAGGTACAAATATACATCAACAGATGTAGCTATACTGATACAATTATACATGGCCGGTCAGTTGAAACGTGGAATTACTATGTATTTCGCCTCCCTGGCTACAACAACTTCACAAATCAGCACGAACACATTTTTATCATGTAGAGTATTTCATGTAGGAGACCTACACAAATTTTTGGCGGAAGATACGCTGTTGTTCGAGTGTGGCAGCAGAGAGGGGCGATTACCACCAAGTGAAACACGTGACTTTGAACCGAAAACATCAATCATCACTGACATACGAGGCTCTGCAACACCATTTATGACAAATTTCGGATGGCTAAAATCTCGGTGCGACACAGCAGATAATCACACAGTTTTGAGATTTTGTGCTGCTCAATTCCTGCCAAAATTTGGACAGCGCCAAAGGACGTCTAAGTACAAGAGATAGTAGGTCTGCACTCCAAGTGAAGTTGTGTCGTTGAGCTGCTGTGCAAGAAATGTTTCATTTGGTGGTACTGATTCAAGTGACCGTGAATAACGGTAGTCAGCATCCTGTCCTATTGACACTACACCGAATCTCACATTGAGCACAGTTGAGCCTGAACTGCCCCAAGTGCTAATCACGACCATGCTGATATTCCATAACCATCTGCCTGTCACATTAACCGTAATGTCAAGGTGCGTTCAGCTACATAGGTCTCCGGTCAGGGCCACTGCCACAACACAGCGAGGACGCTTAAACCCCGTGAAACCGTGGTTTTTAAGTATCACGGCATTCTCCCAGCGCACTGTCAGGTGGAGCTTCTACGCGATACCCAACTGGTGATTCATCGACTTGTGGTCATGAAATTGCGTTCAGTATAAGTAACACCCATTCAAGTCCATTGAGAGTAAGTACTAGTATTTGCAATGTGCACCAGGCAACAAAGCTGTAAATCTCTTGATCAGAGCGTGAGAAATAGCATCGATTGGGATGACCCTCCTGTGCTGCAGTGTGTATTCCTAAGATTGACATCAAGTGCCGTCTCAGCTTTCGACAACAGCATTCATTCATTCACTATTTGAG